TATATTTATGATCTTACAATATTTTTTATCTAGATATTTTTTATATTATTTTATATTATTTTGTATATCAGAAATTGAATAAAAAATAATTCAAAAATTGTAATGTGAAGTCTGAATATGAACATTTGTAAACGTTTTTAATATGTTTCATTTTAATCAAATATATTTGAAAAATAAAAATACTGTGTTTAAGTATTACTACCATGTAATAAATGTTTATTTTTACTGTTCTTCTGCTATCCAAACTCTTCCGATTAATTTTTAAAATTTAGAAAACTGATCGAAGAAGATTTAAATATGTCATAGACATCTTAGCAACCTAAAATAAATGCATATCTGTATTAAAATGTATTCTTTCCGCTGAAATATGATTTTTATGATTTTTATTTTGTTATTTAATAAATTATTAATAAATTTAAAAGAATAGCTGTGTCACTTACATTACCAAATGTTCTGAGGGAAATATCTATAAAATTTCCTGCTTTAAGTTTTAATGGGTTTTCGGAAATAGTTATAAGTAATATCAATGCTCGTGCTGTTGCGTCTTCAAGACGGTACCATTCTAAAGTGCGTATTGTTAATGATACTTTTTCTCCCTGATTTTTATCAATTAAATATGTTAGCGATGTAAACAAAAAAATAACATTTCTCTGACTTTTCTCTTATTTGTTACATTTACTATATTTTACTATTATCGACGATAAAAAATAGCATATACCTGTTCAATGATTTGCTCGCCCATGTAGCAGTAAATAAATATGATGTACCACAACATTATTAGTCCACTAATATATGCGCAAATACTAACAACATTATGTTTTTCCCATTCCTGTAAATAGAACTTTTATTAATTTTTTAGAACATTAAATTATGATATAATACACCTTTTATCATTTATCTAAATTTATATTTTCTTTGAAATTTGTTGTTATGTAAATACTTTTTTTGCGCACCATGATAACGTAATATCCTACTAAGCATATCATCATCGTAGATCCCACGATTTGTATTAAACTTGTGTACTGAATAGTACTCTGTACCAATTGTAAGAAACTAAAATGTATTGCGAGAAAAAATTATGAAAATTGTTTTTAACAAAAATAACCAGTATCTAATCATTTTATGTATCTTTGATAATAGATATCATTTTGCATAAATATACTATCGTTTATTAAGCTCTGGCACAGTTGCCAGTGTAAATACTCTCTAAATCTGAATCAGAATAATCATTAATATCAGTGCCACATATGTAAACCACTGATCAATGAATTAAATGTGAGATCCCTAAACTAGCTAATCTTTATTGTGTGTGTCTAACTAACCTTGTGTTAATGTTTAAATTCAATGAATATGGTATTGGAAGATTTAAATTAGCGTGCAAATATCAATATTTTAGTTAAGTAATGCTCAAATATTCTTCCTTTTTTAGTTGAACTTCACTGACTATCAATGCAAAGTATGCCACTGGGTAATTAGTGACTATATCCACTGATTCAGATTTAGAGAATAGATTTACAGTAAAAAATTAACGAATGAATCTCATTATTGTACGCAAAGGAAGACTCACTTTCTTATTCTGATTTGCCGCTCCACGACAATAGCCAATCTCTTGTTCAAATCTTTTGGTTGATTCTCGTTCACAAAATCGTTCATTAAAGTCACAAGTATATCTGACTGCGCGCAGAAATGCATCGCGCAAAGTGTCATAAAACCAAATGTTGTTACCGTAATCGTATACTTTATAAGCCCTGATAAAAATTGTACGATATACACGATTTCGTAAACTGGACTACTTTGCACGTCAAATAAAACGAGATAGGCAACGTGAGGTAATGGTCTGATAGTGATATTTTCAGAAGTAATGATCTTTCCTGTTGACAGAGGGATTATTATTCGAAAACCCATGCCGCTGAAGTACATGAATATAGCGCACATCATAATCAGACGTTTGCTAGTTCTGACTCTATCAATCATTGAGACACGATCGCTCGGATTTATAACGTTTCGCCAGTCTTCTTCAACGAATTTTAGACAGTTTCGCACCTCATTCTTGTAAAGCAGAGTACAACTGTACTTGATGATTTCTATTAACGTATATAGTCCGCTGGCCATAACTTTCACCCTTAAACGAAAGTCTGTCAGCACCATAAATACGTATAGCATGGTCGGGATTAGTTCGCCGAAGAGGAACGTGAAACATGTGAAGATTAGTGCGTTAGTCTCCATCAGTTCCAAAAGAAAAGAATTTGCGTGTGTAAATGGCCATATGCCTAATAAACGAAAGAAGAAACGATTCATTGCGAAAGCATTCTCTATGTCACGTTCGTAATACTTGTTAGCAAACATTTTGAGAGATTAATTAAATGTACAATTTATTATATGGAGTCTTTCCATTTCATGGTATAATATTTTGTAGCATGAAAACACTTTTGTAATGCACGATACAGACGCGAAACGTGTCTATTCGCCACTGATCGTAGTATTCTTCGCTGAGCAGAATATAACTTATATTTCATGTGCGCCTGCGTGTGAAGGTAACTGAAAAGCCACGTCAAACGGATGGTTAACGAATATATAGAAACTTTAAAGGGATTGCGTGCAAGTTTATTTACGATTTTCCTTTATTGTAAGAAAAACAGATGGTTTTCTGCGGGAAGTTATGAAGGAATGAACTTTCATAATAAAAACTTACTGATAATACTAGTGTATAACAGTGTATAAGCAAAACGTAGGAGTTGACTTGGATGAGTAATAAAAAATAACTGGATTTATCTCGCGACTATATTCCAAACATATTTTTTGTCCTTTATATACTATATATTATTTTCATAATTTCTTTAATTAAAATCTGTACGTCATTGAAACATTACAATTCTCCATATAAAATATTATTTCCTAGCGTATTTATTCAGACGTTTCGGAGATTTCGATGCTGCGTAGAATGAATCCCCGATTATGAATTATCGAGTGGTAATTTGTTCATTTTTTGAAAAATAAATAATATTACTATACTGCTTATTTCTATTACATAATAATGTAATATTACTTGATCTTAAAAGAAAACAATTTTTGTAATAAAGGATTATAGTGTTTGAAGCTACTCCTACATTAGTCGCAAGTAAATTTTAAGCTTGTTGTAACAAATTGGTTTGTCGTCACTGACAAGGTTATGATTGACTTATCATTAATATAAGATCATTATAAGATTATTATAAGATCATTAATATAAGATCAGCTTATTTTTGCATTTTTTTGCATTTTTTGTATGTTCATATTAAGTACAATGTGATCAATACAATATTATCAATATGAAATGTAGCTTAGAATGTAGATTTGAAAAATAAACAATGATTACAATAATTGCAATTGATGTGTAGAAGTGTTATAATAATAATTACATCATGCAATACTTTGATCTGTTCGCTAATTATAATCGCGTGCAAAAGTCACAAATCGAGAATATAAAGCTGCATTTTATGTATACATAATTCATAAATATGAAATTATATTTTTATCTTTCAATTTTTTTCAGTGTTCTAATTTATCTTATAACAGAGTGAAAATCCGATTCATAATAAAATTTATATAAAATAATATAGCTATTATAATGTAATTAGTTTCAGAATATTTTCTATAAAATCATAATGTTTACTTTCTTCATGTTGAGAAACAAAAATTTCGTATTCTTTTATGTATGTGCATTATACGTATATGCATATATTATAAGCTGTCGTATTTGATCATACATTTATACTACGCGAGTACATCTATATATGATTAGATATTATCATTATAATGCGTTCGTAATCGTTTCACTTTCAATGAGAAGGAAGAGATATACAGAGTCAAAATCTTCTGTGTATCAAAAATCAGAATTATAATAAAATAACATTTCTTTCTTTCAAACACGTTTATCAATAATGATGATCAATAAAAATTAATGCCAATATGTATATTAGTTTTTCGCCTTAGGCTTTATAATTTAATATACTTATTGTACATACGATTAGACATTATTGAGAAGTATGTATATTTTATGTCCTGATGACTTGGGGCATACAAAGATAGGACATTTTAATTAAATAAAAAAATTAAATAACTTTATACGTTAAAATAAATAACTTTAAAGTACATAAAAAGTACATAAAAAGTACATAAAAATAACTATAAAGTATATAAAAAGTACAAACAATTTCCTTCTAATTATCAGTTTTTTCTGTCAATATAACATCAGATATCTAATAGATAGTTTCTTATTTACATTTGTAATGAATTTCATAATATCTTTTACTTAGGTTAGACATTTTTATATTATTTTACATGCGTATCTATCAGAAATTAAATAAAGCATTGTTATAAATCAGAAATTACAATGAAGTCCAATAAAAAAAATATGAACATTTTCAATAATGTAAACATTTTCAATATGTTTAATTTCAATTAAAGATATTTGATAAAGAAAAGTATTCTGTTTAAGTATATTGTTACTTCAATTTCGTGGGTACCAATGTTTATTATTATTATTCTATTACTATCCATACATTTTCAATTAATTCTTGAAATTCAGTGATCAACTGATCGAAGAACATTTAAATATGTTACGGTCATCTTAGCAACCTAAAATAGATGCATATCTTTATTAGATATCTCTCTTCCTTGCCTCAGAAATCATTTTCATGATATTAATTTTATTATTAAATAAATTTAATAAAATAGCTGTATTACTTACATTACCAAACGTTCTTAGAGAAATATCTATGAAATTTCCTGCTTTAAGTTTTAATGGGTTTTCGGAAATGGTTATAAGTAAAATCAATGCTCGTGCTGTTGCGTCTTCAAGACGGTACCATTTCAGAGTGCGTGTTGTTAATGACACTTTTTCTCCCTAGTTTTTATCAATCAAGCGATGTAAACAAAAAAAATATTTTTCTAATGTTCTACTTTGTTGTTCGTTATATTTGTTATATTTTACTATCATCGACGATGAAAAATAATTTAACAACATATATACCTGTTCGATGATTTGCTCGCCCATGTAGCAATAAATAAATATGTTGTATGATAACATTATTAGTCCACTGATATATGCGCACATTCGAATAACATTATGATTTTCCCATTCCTGTAAAATAAACTTTTATTAATTTTTTATACAGATCTATAACGTAATACATTTTTTATCATTTATCTAAACTTATATTTTCTTTGAAATTTATTGTTATATAAATATTTCTGCGCACCATGATAGTGTAATATTCTACGAAGCATATCAACACTGTAGATCCCATGATTTGTATTAAACTTGTATACTGAATGGTACTTTGCACCAATTGTAAGAAACTAAAATATATTGCGAGAACTATGAAAATTATTTTTAACGCGCGCGCGCGCGAAAATTACTAGTAGCTGGATAATAGTAATTTGCTCATTTTGCGAAAACGTACTATTGCGTATTAAGTTCTAACAATCTCTAACATAATTGCTAGTGTGAATACGTTAAAGAATTAACGAATAAATCTCATTATTGTATGTAAAGAAAGACTCACTTCCTTATTCTGATTTGACGCTCCACAACAATAGCCAATCTTCTGTTCACGTTTTTTGATTGATTCTCATTCACGAAATCGTTTATCAACGTTACAAATATGTCAGACTGCCCACAAAAGTGCATCGCGCAAAGTGTCATAAAACTAAAAGTTGTAATCGAAATCGTGTACTTTATAAATCCTGCTAAAAATTGTATGAAATATACGATTTCGTAAACTGGACTACGCTGCACATCAAGTATAACAAGATAGGCAACGTGAGGTAGTGGTCTAATAGTGATATTTTCAGAAGTAACGACCTTTCCTATTGAAAGAGGTACTATTATTCGGACAACCATGCCAGTTAAATACACAAATGTGGCACACATCATAATGAGACGTTTGCTAGTTCTGACTCTGTCAATCATCGAGATGCGATCACTAGGATTGATAACGTTTCGCCAGTCCTCATCAACAAATTTTAAACAGTTTCGCACTTGATTCTTGTATAGCAGGGTACAACTGTACTTGAGGATTTCTATTAACGTAAATAGTCCGCTGGCCATAACTTTTACCCTCAAACGAAAGTCTGTCAACACCAAAAATACGTAGAGCATAGTCGGAATCAATTCGCAGAAAAGGAACGTGAAACACATGAGGATCAGTGCGACCGTCTCTATCAGCTCCAGAAGAAACAAATTTGCGTGTGTAAATGGCCATATGCCTAATAAACGAAAGAAGAAGCGATTCATCGCGAAAGCATTTTCTATATCGTGTTTGTAATACTTGTTAGCAAACATTTTGAAAGACTGATTAATTTTATAATTTCTTATATGAAGGTTTTTCGCTTCATAGTATACTTAATAGCACACTTTTGAGAACACTTTTGTAATGGACGATACAGACACGAAATGCGTCTGTTCGCCACTGATCGCAATGACGAGCAGTATCCTTCGCTGAACTCAACATAATTTATGTGCGCCTGCGTATCAAAGGAAATGAAAAGCTACGTCAAGCGAATGGTTAACAAATATATAGAAACTTTCAAAGAAATTACGTGCAAGATAAGTTGCGTACAAGTTTATTTACGATTTCACAAATATATAGAAACTTTCGAAGAGATTGCGTGCAAGGGAAATTGTGTAAAAATTTATTTGCGATTTTCCCTTATTGTAAGGAACAGAAAATTTTCTACGGGAAGTTATAAAGGGGTAAACATTTCGCAAACTTACCGAGAATAGTAATATGTAAGCAAAGCATAGAAGTTGACTTGGTAAAGCATACGTGGAAATATAATTATATTTATCACTCAACTATATATCAAAACAATTCTTTTTGTTCCTCATTTATTAAAATTACTTTTTTTTATTAAAATGTATACTGCATATAGAAAGCTTTACAGTACTCTTTATAAAATGTGACCTAAAAAAACTTTTTTAAAAAAATAAATATAAGTATGTTAAAAAATATCAAAATTATCCTTCCTGAGATAAAAAAAAATATTTTTTATAAGCTATTTAAATATAATTATTTAATAATTAACTTTTTAAAAACGAATATGATACTAATGCATTTAGTCAAATATTTTTTACTAAAAGAATCTCAAAAACGTTTATTTGTAAACCCTCTCCTCTATTTCTAAAATACATAAAAACCGACTAAAAGTAATTAAAGTAATTGGATTATAGTGAAGATAAAACTTGGCGTGCCCAAGTCGTATTAAAATGCAATTCCAATGTATTTTTACAATATGGAAATTACTTAAGAGACGAAGTCTCTTAGTAATAAAAAATTGTTACATTTCTGCATATATTTCCAGATATATACAATTCATAAAAACAATAATTAGACAAAAAATTTTAATAATTTGTTTACTAATCCTGTAAATTTTTTGTCTATAATTATAAATCAAAATCAATATTATATTACATATTATTTCTCCATTTAAGTTTGTAATGATGTAAATTTGTAACATGCACTCCCATAAAACGCTCTTGTTTCGCACACTTGCTATTTGCCACTATGCGATAATGATTTCTACTCAGTGCTGTAATTTGCTTTGGTATGAAATAATGGTTCGGTTTATATAAGTTTATATAAAAATAAAATAGTTATTAGGTAATTTAATTAATTATTGAATTGTTTTCTATGAAAATTTAATGTATATTCCGCTGTACTGAAATAAAAATTTCTTACTTATTTTTCTGTAAATTCATTCATTATATTCATTATACTAAGTTTTACATTTGACATGTCTATAAAATTCTCTTTGCGATACGATTACCATTACGAGTTCTAATCTAATCATAGTTCCGGATAGAAGAAAAAGATAGAGGATAGAAATATTCATTTAATTGTTTTTATAAGCATGTTAAAATACGTCACAGCTGCTTTGATAACCTGAAAAATGAGCATAATATTTCGTAATTATTTTCTTATTATTATTACTTCTTCGTAACTTTATTTTTATTCAATTAATGTTGGATAAATTTAAGTTTATTCAACGAACGTACGACTTCTTAGGTAAATACAATTAAGAAATATTTGTAAATTTGTATTAAAAAATAATTGTATTTAATTTATGTCTATTATTTTAATAATAATTATAATTATTGGATAACGTATGTAATATTGCTAAATGTTATTGAGTCATATAAAAATGAGTGAATGCTTCTAAACGCATATACTTACATCGCCGTATGTTTTTAATGATAGATCCATAATGTTTCCAGCAGTAATCTTGGTGGGCAAATTTGACATGATTATCATCAATACGATTCCACGCGCAGTCTTATTTGGAAGACGATACCACTCGAGCATGCAAGATGTTCTAGCTACTCTTTCAGCCTGTTATTAATATTATCAAGTATATGTAGGTAAGTATATGTAGTATAATACAAATTTTTGTGGACTTAGGCATAGCTGATAAATATTATAGAAATATTTCCAACAATTTCTTCTCAACTA